AGGTACAACTAGACAGTGGTCACACAGGCCTAAGGCACGCCAGTTCAAATTAATCCATGTTCCACTTCATTCTTTACACACATTTTAATTTTCTCATTTTCCCCAGATCCTGTCTGTAGGTCAAAGACTTGATGTCACTGAGGCAGTGCCTGACCCAGCGTTTTCTTTCTTCAATTATTGCCGGGCCACATTCTCATGTCTAGAGAAATGGGACCACTGTGTTTACACACTCAGTTCTCAATTCCCATTTTCCCTAACATATCCATTCTTTGATTTATAACTTCCATAGATAGTTGCCCAACGTAATCAGAGATATATGAGATGCTATATAAATACAGTGTGCACAAGGATTGTGGTAATGAGTTTACTTGAAAGCACAAGGTTGAAGTATGTGTCTTTAATGGATAAAACAAGGTCTATATAACTGCCTTTCATCTATATAATAAGCAGTACTATTGTTAGGAGTGACTGGATATAAACCAAATTTGCTTATGGATGTGAACACATGATAATGTAGTGGCCGTTAATAACTGGCCAGAGAAGAAGTGATGAAAATTACGTCTATGTCTGCTTCGTGAATATACCCCCGTTCATTGACTACATAGCTATGTAATGCCTCTTACGTTTAAAACCTTCAAGAACTAAGGACAGTGAACAGGGCAGATACAATCTTTACTCTGGGAGGTTTTTTTAGTTTAACCAGAGAGATGGACATTAAATGCTACACCAGCTATTATTTAATGTAATTGTGAAAACTATATTGACATAGAAGTACAAGGTACTCAAAACAAGAAAATAGGATCTGGCAAAGATTATGCAATGAAGGAAAATCTTGAGGAACTCAAGACTTAGTAGCATTAAGGGGGAAAGTTTATGAAGAATGTTCTAGAAAAATGGAATTACTGAGCCTTAAGACAGGAAGGTTTGTGGAGCTGAGAGGACAGTAGCATTGGAGCCCAGAGCACTTGCTGTGGCTTGCAAGCCCGAGCCTCTCTACCCTCATCTCATTTCAGAAATCTCCACCCCTGCCCTGGAGTCATAAAACATGCAGGTGGTATATTAAGCCATTCGAATGATTGTTGAAATTATCTAGGGAGAGTGAAAAGAAAACTGGATCAATATAAAACCTGAGAAAACTTGGCGTTTAGGAGAAGAAAGTTAATCCAGCAAAGGAGGCTCAGAATGGGTACGCGGAGTGGCTGGAGGAACAGAAGGAGCAGGAGGAGGCCGGGAGAGGAAGCGAACAGATGTGTCAGATGTTGCTGAGGGGTAGACAAGAGAAAGTCTGGCAGATGACCAGCCAGAGTGGAGTTTTCAAACTGGAATGGAGGCCTGGCAGAACAGAAAGGGAAAATAACAAGGGACTGGCGGGTACAGAGAAAGGAGAGTCATCAGTGGCTCTCAGACACGAAAACTGTCCAAGAATGGTCTCTGCTGGAGGCATGGAAAAGCAGTCTTTTTTTTTTAATTGAGACAAGTCTCACTCTGTCACCCTTGGTAGAGTGCCATGGTGTCATAGCTCACAGTAATCTCAAACTCCTGGGCTCAAGTGATCCTCTTGCCTCAGCCTCCCTTCTATAACACCCAGCTATTTTTTTGTTTTGTTTTGTTTTGTTTAGCAGATCCAGGCTGGGTTCGAACCCAGCAGCCCTGGAGCATGTGGCCAGCATCCTAACCACTGAGCTATGGGTACCCAGCTGGGATGGAGTAGAAAAAGTAAACTTGTGGCTAGGATGCTAGGTGGGAGAGGAAGATACCGAGTAATTTTAGAGGTGGAACATCTCAGGAGAGGACAGATTTCAGAAGTGACTCTGGGAGTAAAAGGCTGCAGTAGAGAAATGGAAAGTTCATTTGCAATAAGGAGATGCAGGTGGGGTGTTGTGAGGGCTGTTTATATAGATGGCACTTTATCCAGGATCATGACTATAGTGGGGCTGCAAGGAGCAGTAATAATCCTGGTGCCAACCCCTTCTTATGTAGGACATATGGTGACTGGAGATTGGTAGACAAATGACACCAACAAGAAGAGAGAGGGTATAGAGCTACATGGTGGGAATACCAAAGCTGCAGGGGGATTTGGGGGGGTGGACAGACCTGGGGACAAGGAGATCCACAAACCTGAGGGTAACTGGGGTGTGGAGGAATAAGCAGCCATCATCATTCAGAGCTGAAGTGGTGTCTTCAATGGACGATGGGATTTCAGTCAAGGAAGGAAGGGAGAGGCAACGTTCTGAGAGGATGTTGAATCATGAAGTCTGCAAACCATGAGCAAAGTTCTCAAGGCCAAGTGGGAGAATTTGAGAAATAGGAACAGGGAGCGAGAAGGGAGAGAGTTGGGGGCTAATGAAGGGCAACGGGGCAGTGAGGCATGGGGCATTGTGGAATTTTATTGTCACTGAAAACAAATACCAGGGCAGGATGTGGGGACAGGGAACTGGAAGGAGGGGCTGACTAAGTAAACAAAGATGAGTGAGCCTGGCAACGTCAGTAACATCTGAGAGAGGCACCCGCCTTTAGATGAAGACCTGGGAACAGGAAGCTGGTCTAGTAAGTAGAGCAAAGGGGAGGCTGGAAAATCTGATGGAGCTTGACTAGAGGAGATTCCTGCCTGGAAACTGTCTCTAGGAAAATGGGGTCCTTCGTTACTAAAATGCTAATCTGTTATAAAATATCCCACCTGCCAGAGGTTTGTACCAGGAAGCACTAGGCCTTGGTAATACTCGACCCATTCTGGCCGAGTAGTTATTTGATTCTGATCGAGTGGTTATTTTTCTCCTCAGGCTTTCATGACAAAGATTTCAGATTTCAGGATTTTTAAAAAATGCAGGATTTCGTCTTTGCAGTCTGGGATGTATTATACATAATTTGCATGGCCTCAAATTTTTCCCTCTGGGTGTTAATGTTATCAGTGGAATGTGGTAGGAAAAAGCATGAAGCTGTACCCCTTCTTTAATCTAGTCTGTTGCTCAATACTCAGAAACTATAATTTAATAGTCATCTAATAACTTGAAATAATAATATGTTTTCCAAAGGTACCTAATTCAAAATCAAGAAAGTAGTAATGTGCTGGTTGCATCTGCTTCTTCCCCAAGGCAATGTGATAAGATAGGCCTGAAAATAATTTCAGAAATCACAGAGAGTGGTGAACTTGTGCCTTGGTGGGCGAGGGGAGAACCAAATGTGAACAAGCATGGTGGTTCAGCTCTAGTTCATACCAGCTCTCAAACGCTGATCTTTTGAGTGATCTTACTCAGTATCACTGGAATCCCTCCTTAGTCTTTAGCAAAGGAATTTGGGATTTATTATTTACCGCACTCTATTTCAAATATCTGCTTAGGCAATTTAAACAACTGTTTGAGCAACATACAGTCTGAGACTGTGTCATATTTATGTTTGTGTTCTCACACAGTCCAGTGTCTGAGATAGTACAGAAAAATGAGGGTTGAATGTTCCAGTCACCTGTCTCACCACACACTGCTGGGTCACCACCGGAAAAACTTAGTGGCATACAACCCAAACCATATTTATTTAGTTCGTGAGGCTATGAGGTTCTGATGTCCCCAGCTGGTCTCAGGTGATCTGGGCTGATTTTGCACAAATGTCTGGGGCTCCTCTGCCTGTTCTCTCCCTGAGTTTGAACACCTGTGGAAACCTGACTGGGCTCCATCTCATGTTCCACCAGCTAGTCTAGACAGGCTCCAGTGGCACAGTGGAATTACAAGAATGAGCAAACCAGCTGTGCAAGCATCTTCCACGCCTGTTTGTATCAATGTCCTGCTGGTCCAGAAGAAGTCACGTGCACAAGCCAGAAGTCAGAGTAGGAGGGTGCTGCAAAATTACACAGAAAGGGTATGGATGCAGAGAGGGCTGGAGAATTGGGGCCATCTGTGCATCTGGTCTACCATGTTAAAAAAGTAAACAAATTCATCACAGAATGACATAAAGCACACTGCAATCAGGGTCAGCAGATAGTATCAGGAAGCCTCGGCAGTGTTCATCTTGTTAACTTGGAATGAGTTATTTAATCATTCTAAACCCTAATTTCCTTGTTAGCTTTTCCCAAATTTGAAAGCCTTTGATTCCATACATGCAAGCTTTTAATAAATGTAATGCTATACACGGTCTGTAGAAGGAACTGTAAGGAGAGTTGTTACTATCCTATCCTGTGAGCCAAAATGGTTGTTGTGTATGGCCAAAATTGATTGGCTAATTTTGACTCTTCTGAATCTTCAAACATTTTATAATCACATCCAAACTGATAAGCTTCAAATCTGAACTTGGGTTTGAATCAAAGTGCTGAAAGTTTAATTTCCTATTGAGGTCTTCAGTTTTTGTTCCCATCTGATGATTCTTTTGAAGCATACAATGCGTCCGTATAATGTCAAACAGGATGGCATCTCATATATATGAGATGAGTTATAGGGGCCATTGATGCTGTGTGCCTTAATAATTCATTGTTATGATGAATTATTATTCTTAAATTGACTAGAGGAGCTTGTGTCAAATTTGCATAATGCTGATAAGAAATGTGGGTTATTTTAGAAGAGACAATTTGTTTTATAAAACTATAGAGACAATACAGAAATGAAACCTGCTTTTCATTATCTAATATATGTAATGCATAATAAAGCACTGAATTATTTAATTACAAGAATAAAAACGGAGTAAAAATGCTTCCAATTGAAAATATTTTATAAGTTTCACAAGACGAAAGTAATATACACAAATAGTCTTTGAAGATGGCTCTAGGTGATGAAAATGACTTCTTATTCTAGTTACGTAGATTGCATCAAAAATTCCACACCCGCATTATCAAAAAATTGATGAACGTATAATTTGTAACTTACTTTGACGTGTAGAATGTTCTATTCTAGACACAGACTGTTCTAGAAATGACTTGGCCTATGATGAATGTTATCCTTGTCATATCTTAGGGAAACAATTATTTTGGTCTGATAATTTACTCGTGAAATCAATCACTCTGCCCTGTGTCATTTCAGAGTCACCATGTAGACATATCCAAGAAAATTCACTCAAATCAAGCTGGCGTGGATTCAGAAGCACCAGTTGGTTGTCAGAATGATTTGGCTGATGTGGAGAGGGAGAGGATAAACCATGGGGCCAGTGCAGTAGCGGACACCGATGTGACCACAGGTCAGTTAAGCCAGAAGAGGTCAGTTTCAATTGCCTACGTACCAGGGCACAACAGACAGATTCTTACTTCCATTTTGGTTGGAATATACGGTTCAAAGTGGCCAGTGAACTTTTGAGTGCAGCATAATATTATGTACACATAATAATGATGATACCATTCTTTCCTTTCCATTATTAATTTTTTCTCCTCATTTAGATGTTTGTGGATTGCTTATATTGTTCTGATAATAATATTTTGACATTTCTTCTAGAATGAATAAGAAGTATTAATGACTTTTGAGAAGAGGTGAAAATAACTGAGACTTTTTAATTTAAAGAGACACCTGATAAAGTAATCAGAGGCAGACTTCAGTTATGATCATTTAGTTTATAGAGAAAGATAGTGATCCAATATTTTTCTTCTCCACCAAGGGTGAATGGAGTTGTGGAGGAGTTGATAGCATTCAATTAAGCTATCCAGATGAACTTTCGCATGGTGGAAATTTGGGATGAGTTAACAAGTGAAATAAGGACTTTCTCTCTTGGCAATATTTTAGACCCAACAAACCAGCTCAATTTCTATTACATTTTATCTTTGAAACTTCACATTTGGTTTACAGGAAAATTGAAACTGTAATTATTGTTAAGCATACGGTTTGTTCCTTTCCTCTCCTTATTTGGTTTTGTCGCTAGCCCGCTTTCTTCTCCAAGGACATGTAAAAGTCAAAATACTAGATATAAAGTCTCTGAAGTGTTTCTGCGCCAGACCCTGTCTGTACAATCTGCGCTCTTTCATGTAGTTAGCTTGCTGGCTTCTGACACTCCTATAAAAATATCCCATCGAGCTTTTCTTATTACCTTTTCATTGACTCTCTTCGAGTGATAAAAATGAAATTCTGTAAAGGGCTTTGAAAACCATGCATATTGCAATTCCTCCAAGTTTCTAATACTAATCAAGTGTGACTATAAAAGAAACAACCACTGCAGTGAAAATTGCTGCAGTGTGTTGAGTCTCAAGCCATTATTAATTCATTGGAAGCTATTTTTTTCTTTAAGATTATAGATCTTAAAAAGGACCAGATAACACAATTCCCAAGATCAAAGTTTTTGTTTCAATCCCAGGGAAACTTGTTATTTAATCTTCTCTTGTGTGTGCTTTTCTCTGGAACATGGTAGACTCAGCTTTGTGCCCTGAAAGAATAGTGCAGAGAATGGTACAGACCAGAGCGGCACCTAATTTGAACCTATTGCCTGTAAGAGATGGTTTTAAGGATGAAGAAGACCTGAAATTAAAGTAGTAATAGTACTCTCTTCATTCAAGAGAGTAAATGGAGCCAGGTGCAGTGGCACATGCCTATAATCCTAGCTCTATGGAAAGCTGAGGTGGGAGGATTGCTTGAGCTTAGGAGTTTAAGACCAGCCTGAGCAAGAGCGAGACCTCCTTTGAATGGAAAAATTACCTGGGTGTTTTGGCAGGTGTGTGTAGTCCCTGCTCCTTCAGGGATGAGGCAGGAGGGTATATTGAGCCCAGGAGTTTTAGAGCTCTGAGTAGCCTGAGGCCATGGCACTCTAGCCCCAGCAACAGAGTTGAGATTCCGTCTTAAAAGAAAAAAAAAAAAAGGTAGAGAGAGGGGGTTAAAATGAAATCTCCTTTCTCAGAATAAGTCGACTCTAACATTTAGAAATTAGCCAGCATGAACATCTGGACCATATTTTTTTTTGCTTTCTGATTTGTAAATGCAATAAATTAGTCTTTCTGAGTTATGAATTGTAATTGTGTGTGATAGACAATCCCATGTATAAAACTAGAAAAGTCGAGCAGAATATAATTTTTTAAACTTGATCTTTATATAATATAGTATATGTTTATTTGTATTTGAAAAATGAAGCTGGATCCACAGTTAACATTCCCTGTACTTGGCCTGAGTAGCTCATCTCTGAGTATGTAGGATCCTCCTTTGAGTTCCAGGCAGACAAATGAAACCCTGCCTGAGGTTCCTTCTCTTTTTAATGCTTAGACCTAAGTCACTTCCTAAATTCCCTTTCAGTGAGAGTGGCAGTTGCAGAGTCTTTGCAGCATATCAGAGACTAAAAAAAAATGCCTAATGAGGTTAGAAGAGGGAGGCTGCTTTTCTGGTTTTATTTCTCCAGGATCTGCAGGCCTAGTCTTTCAGTTAGATGGGGTGGAACATTTTCAAAACATGTATCTAATAATTATGCTAAAGGGAATTCTTTATCTTGATTTCAGTGTAAACAGCTAGAGGGTTTGCTGTGAATGGCTGAACACCAACGGGGTGATGAGACTCCGCTGCAGCCTGGGGTACAGGAAACTGTCCCACAGTGTCACTTAGTCACCGGCTCTTCTTCACCAAGAAGCCGATGAAAATGTTTCACCAGATCTCATCCAGGCCCTTCTGCCATGGGGCCTTCATTCAGTTTGGGTGCCTGGTGATGCCCATGTCTTATTTTAGAAACGTTTTAATTAGGGCTACATATTATTTGGTCCATAAATGACAGTTCTCTGAAAGTATGCTGATTAAGCAGTAGGATGATAAAGTTCAGACCTTTGGAGTCTGAGCTGAGATTGTTGGGTTTAAAGTTTGGCTTTTTTACATCGTAGCTGTGTACAGACCAGAGCAGCACCTGCTTAACCTATTGCCTGTAAGAGATGGTTTTAAGGACAAAGAAGACCTAGAGTTAAAATAGTGGTTCTCGGCAAGTGAGAGTCCCTAACTGCATGCAAGAGAGTAAATGAGCCAGGTGCGGTGGCCATGGCTGTGTACTCTGAACGATGGTTAAAGACTCTATGTCTTTATTTGTAAAACTGGATTAATAAGGCTGTTATAATGGGGTGATGCCCGTGGCTTAAAAGGGTAGGGCACAGGCCCCATATGCTAGATCCAGGTAGTGGGTTCAAACCCAGCCCCAGCCAAAAAATAATAACAAAAAAAGGCTGTTATAACATAGGCTATTTTGAAGATTACATTAGATCAACTAGGTGAAAATTAATAGAGTATGTAATAAACTCTAATTAAGTCAAGCTGTCATAATTAACTACCAAGTGTTTATGAGTTGATTGCTAAGGAAAAAGTTTGTTTCCGTCCAATACACTCCGCAAAGTGCTGGCTGTGGCCAACTGATGTTGTGACTCTGGCAATCTCTGGGGTTTTGTCTACATTTCTTTCCCCTTTGTGAAGCATGTCTCGATGGTTGGTGTTGTCATCAATTCCCCAGAGTGCAGGAAACATGCCCTTGTGCAGAGGCCTGATGCCCGGCCTCTCTATCGGACCCTTTCCCCATCCTACACAGCAGCAGCAGCAGCTCAGGAGGAACCCAGGACTTCACTGTTTAATCAGCTTAGAGGTACTTTCAGTAAGTGGTGTGTGTTCAGTGGAAATGTTTGCATTAAGCTGTCTGTTGCGCATCCAGCTCCTTGGATTCATTTGCTTGCAGAAAGCTGACTGGGAGTTGCTCTCAGGACCTACACCTGCGGCAGAGTCGCAGACACAGGGAGGGCAGAAGACTTAGCTGAGTGATGACACAGTCACAACAGAAGCCTCAGCTGATCCCACCAGGAGCTCTGGAGGTGACATGGTCTTTAGAGCTGTCCTAATTTGGGAGTTTGTGGGAAGCAGGCCTCTATACCCCCTGCATCAGTCAATCATTGAATGCAGCTGTCCCTGAGAAGAGACTGTGACTGTGGGCAAGGTGGCAGCTTCTGTCCAAGGGCAAAGGCCTTGCAGACAAGAGGAGGACCTGGTTATTATATGGGTCACTCATTAATTATTTCTGGTGATCTACCTGCCTGCACCAGGGGCCATTTTCCTTTTTCCTCCTTATGTGTCCCTCTAGAAACTGAAATCTTTGCCCCAGGACGACCTTTTAAAGAGGCCCATTTGTTTTTGCCCCGTGTGTTCTCTATGGACCACATGTTCACTCTCCTGTGCCACATTCTCTAATGTAATGTCCTTCCTTTTGAAGCTCCAACTACATTCTTTAAGTTGTTGGTATGTCTTTAGACTAAATCTGTACCACCTTTTATCTCCTGTGTATTAGACAAGTAGTAGAGGAACACTGAGCCACACAACAAAACCTGGGTGCCCTAGGTTCTAGTCCTAGCTCAGCCAGAATCTCGGTGTGTGGCCTTTCAGAAACCATTTCATTTCTCTGAGCTTCACTTTCCCCACCAAAACAGGGGGCACGCCAGCTAAATTTCACATCCTGTCAATTCTGAAAGCTCGTGACTCTCTGGCCTATTCTGATATAAAACAATGACACCGCTGGACTCAAACCATCTCATCTCCAAATAAGACCCCCATTCAGGTGATCCACCACACTAAGATCCTCCTCAAACAATCTCATCTTCAAAAAAGAACCCTGTTCAGGTGATCCACCACATCTAAGATCCTACTCAAACCATCTCATCTCCAAAAAAGAGCCCCGTTCAGGTGATCCACCACATCTCATTTGGTAAATTAAACAGATGAGCAGAAACAAAGTCAGAGGGAATCTTTTCACTGAGGTCAAGGTGGAAACTAGAATACAAAAAATAGATCTGTTGAAAAATAAAATCTTTATGGTGAGCTTTAGTGTAAGCTATCAGAATTATTTTGAGGATTAGACAAGGTGGAGGGTCTATATTGATTACATGGGAATTTATATGCTATCAAAAGATAGTCACTTTTGATATCATCATCATAAAACACATTGTTTCCTAATTTAATAAAGGAACACGTCAACAATTTAGTGTCATTCTAAGTAGTGTTCTAAGCACAACGATTACTTTTAATCCAAAGACTAGAAAATCTTCATTTAAACTAATGGATTATTCTAAACGGGCAATCAAAAAAATCTGGTATCTGTTTCATCCTTCTATTTAACATCAATGCAGATTTTTTTCATAATATAAACAAAATAATGGTGTTGGTAAAATTTCCCTTACATTCCTAGGGAATGCTATTTTAATTCAGAAATACTGACACCCTAAAGGAATATATCGTAAGATTGCTCTTTATATTATA